CTCTTCCACCACCACCCGGAACTTGCTCTTGGTGCTGAGCACGGGCTTGACCCCCGATAGCCACTGGACGCTGGAGAAGATCTTGGCGGGGCCAATGAGCACCTGGCCCGGGTAGAAGCCGTAGGAATCGTCGAAGAAGAGACCCTGCAGGGTTTGGAGCCAGAGGAAAGTGCTGGTGAGCAGCGCCTCCTCGAGGAGGGTGCTTCCCGCGCCACCTTCAGCCCCACGCCCCGCCTGCCCCCTCGCCCAACACCGGCCCCAGCGAGGCCCCAGGGTCCCTAAGACAAACCCAAGGCTCCAGAGCAGCACAAGCTCGGCCACTCCAATGCCGCTGGTCGGGAGGACATTCGGGGACTATGGCTCTAGGGGGCGCCCACCCTGTGCGATCGGCACTGCGCCCAGCACACTCCTTTACGGTCGGTCGGTCGTAAACTCCTGCTCTAAAAGGACTTGCTGCACTAACACATACACACCAGACAAAACCACCGAGGTTTTAAAAGGGTGACACAGACGTCAACAGAACATAAAGAGAAGTCCTCATCCTTTCTGCCCTTTTCCAGGAAATCACCGTGCCCAGAAGCGTTTAGCCTGGGCCAGCTACAGCTCTGTGCCATGAAGTCCTTTTCCCGCCCAGCCCAGAGGAACAAGGAACATGAGGCACCCCCCACCCTCCGCAACACGTACTGAGTCGCTGACGTGTGGGCAGACGTCGTAGAGCTTGGCACCGTCTTCTGTGTTCATGGAGCACCTGGAACAGTGAACATGGGCGTGGTGACCACGCGGCACAGTGACCGAGCCTCAGGGGAGGCCTGGCAGCCGGGACCAGGGGATGCTGATCAGTGTCGGAAAGAGCTATCCCCACGCGTCCGTGTGACACACGCCCTAAGATGTCACAATTCCTCCTCCGTCCACAGCTCAGCCTCTGGCCTGGTACAAATAATTCTCCTAAAACACACAAAACCCTAACCCGCTCTCTGAGTGCCAAGCACCATTCAAATGTCTAACTGAAGCCCCAGCTCCCAGCAGATACCCTAAGTGATGGTGCTTCTCTCCCCAAACCAAGACGGGCCAAGACCAGAAACTGAGGGGGCTCTAGGCTCTGGCGGAGGAGGCCCGGCCAGGTCAGGCCCTGAATGGCCTCGGCATCTGCCGCACCGGCCCTGGGGGAGCGCACCTGGCCCCATTGGACAGGGGCCGTGAGGAAGCCCGCCCTGGGGGAGCGTACCTGGCCCCCATTGGTCAGGGGCCGAGAGGAAGCCCGCCCTGGGGGAGCGCACCTGGCCCCATTGGTCAGGGGCCGAGAGGAAGCCCGCCCTGGGGGAGCGTACCTGGCCCCATTGGACAGCTTCAGGATGATCTGGTTCTTCAGGTCGTAGACCTTCCCCAGCCAGCAGTCATAGGCGATGTAGTCCCCATACATGAAGGGCTGTGGAAAGGACACGGGGTGAGAGGCAGCAGGCGACACGACACTGGTGTCCAGGGCACCATCCTCTCTGTGCTCCATGAGACGGGAGGAAGGGTCTACACAGCTTACTGCCCGGAGGTGGACTGGTCAGTCCTGGCCTAGTAACTGCAGCAGCCCGCAGGCTTCCCCAGGTTCTAGGCTGCACCCAGCTCCCCTTCCTAGTGTGAGGACTGCCAGTGCTGACCGGGAAACTTGTACAGAGACGTGGCGCCCGAGGATACAGGGCTCTGGAACGGAGTCGGCTGAGGAGGGCAGTTACGTGCACAAGGATGGGAAGTGGCTTAAGCAAATACATGTCCTGAGGCTGCCAAGAGCCAAGTTTCAACCAACTCATGTTCAGTTGCACACAGAACAGGTGTTGACACATCTAGACATGCACGCACACACGTACGCCCGAGCTCTGTCCCGAACACATGCACATCTCGGTTCTGAACCTGGTTTTCTGCCCTGAACGAACCAGGGCTCCTTGGAGAAGTGACTGACTCTGAGGCTGGACCAGAAAAATACAGGATGGAAAGTAAAAAGGAACCAGAAAAATGACAGTCAAAAGGTCACAGACGCCAGCTTGAAGGGGCATCTACTGGCCAAACCTGGGATCATTTAAGCAACAAAACCAGTAACGGTGGGAATGGCTCCTGACCAGCGGGATAAGCAGGAGCCTCGGGCCCACGCTGAGGTAACAGTGGACGGATAAATAAATGAGCGGAAGGTTTGTTGCCTTAAAATGCTCTTCCACATGGCAGAGGCCACTGTCCAAGGGGGGTGGGGGGTGGGGGGGACACGGGAAAGCCACAGAATCACCCAGCGGCCAGCAGAGTGCTGCCAGGACAGGCGGGACTGCTAACGGAGGCTGAGGCTGGCAGGCTGGGGTCTGACGTGTGACAAGTTATTGACACAATCCCAGCACATCTCCCCACAACACAGAATTACTTGTAAAGAGGTAAATGGTGACTTGGTGGTGGGGAGGTGTGACAGACACCTAGGTGACCAGGGGTCACGGTGACCTTCGCCGTGGTGCCACCGCTGGACACTGTGGGCCAAGGAAGAGCTCGGTGGCATTTCTGGGGCAGCCCTGCCAAGGATGCAGCGCTGAGGCTGGTCCCGAGGCAACCTCAGAAGCTCCATGCTGAGGGTCAAGCGATGGGCGTACGGGATGCGCAAGACAAAGCAAGGCTGGGTGCGGTCCAGGCTGGAGGAGGTCCAAGAGGTGACCACGAAATGCAGGGTGTGTTCCTGAGTGGGATTCTGGATCAGGACGGGGAAGGCTGCAGGACAACTGAACAGTCTGTGGACTGGGCAGCGACGCACCGAGTCCCTGACCGGGGGACACACACACTGTAGCATTCGGGGGCCACTGGCATCCTGACGAGGAAAAGGCTCAGGGGAGGGGAGGAGATGTGGGGGAGGGACAGGTGGGGGGCAAATGGAGTAGAACATTAAGAGCGGAGGAGCCTGGTGATGCAGGGGCTACAAGAACTTACAACTTTCTGGGAAGTTTGAAATAAATGTTAAAAATAAATTATTGAAAAGCAGCTTGTTTAAAGGAAAGAGAAGAGTTAGAGGAGAAAGGAAACTAGGCCAAGAGAGCCACACCTGCAACTGCGCTGGGGCTGGAGACACAGGGCGAGCCCTGACCTCGCGTCTGAATGGCTTCGAGACAGGAGCACAGGAGGGCTCCGGGGGAGCGGGAGGCCCTGGGCCTGGCCGGCTCGCCTGGAAGGGGAACCAGAGAGCGAGAGGGAGGGAGAGGCGGAGGCTCACCCAGATGTGCTGCAGGTCCTTGCTGTTGACGGGGTAAATGATGCAGTTGGTGCCGATGAGCTTGACGGCGCAGTCGATGCTGACGTCGATCACGGTGCCGCACTGGCTGTCCTGGGGGGAGAGGCACAGGCT